CCCCCATTGACTGGAACCGACGCTGCAACTCGTACTCCAACACCTCACCCTCCTCTTCATCAAGGTGCAGCTGAAACCCTGAGGGTAAGGAGTCTTCACACTCCTCCCTTCCTCCAGCCCATACTTCTCCCCCATGGCTGCAAGGTACTTGTGTTGGTGAAGCCTCAACCATCCCTTCACCTCGTCCCGCTCCAACGTGAAGACCAAGGTAATACCCACTGGTCCAAGGGCCTTGCATTGAAAGGTCTCTTTCAGCTTCCCTTGCACCTCCTTGATCCTCTCTAGGAATGGAGAGAAGAGGAGGATGTCATCGACATAGACAAGGAGAAATACCTTCTCCTCCTCCCCCTCGGTCATGAAGAACTCTCGTCGCACCCGCTAACTTTGGAGCCAAGAGCCTCCAACACCTCCACCAGCCTTGGCATACCAGCACCTTGGAGCTTGTTTGAGGCCATAGATGGCCTTGTTGAGCCTGCAAACACGTCCGATCCCATCATCATACCCCTCTGGCTGCTTCATGTAGATCTCCTCATCTACCATGCCATAGAGGAATGCCGTCTTCACATCCATTTGCTCCACCTTCCAGCCACAAACGGCAGCGGCTGCTAGCAACAACCGGAGCGTAGGAGCCTTGGCAACAGGAGCAAACACCTCTTGAAAGTCATTCCCTCCCTCTGCTGAAAGCCTTTGATCACAAGCCTTGTCTTGCGCCTCTCCAACCTCCCCTCCGCATCGGTCTTCACACACGTAACACCCACGTGCAGTCCAATGCCTTCCTTCCTGGGGGAGATTGGTAAGGGTCCATGTTTCATTCTCCATGTGGCTCTGGAACTCATCCTCCCTAGAAGCCAGCCATGCCTCTCGATCATCTCCAGCGAGAGCTTCCTCCATTGACGCCGGCTCATGAGGTAAGTTTGACGCCAAAGCAACAAATCTGCTCCATCTCCCCCTCAGCTCCCTTCTCCTCCTCATATTCCTCCTCTTGGACCAGCAATGCCTTGGAACCCCAAGCCTTTCATACTTGAGGAAATCCCTTGGATGGGCAGCTCTCTTGGGCCTCTCCTTGGCTGCTCCTTCCTTGGCTCCACCACGGACAGCATCACGCTTCCCTTGGTTGTGCGCCTTGATGGAAGCTTAGGAGATGGTGTAGGCTGCTGCACCTCCTCATCGGTGTCACCTCTCTCAGCTATAGGGGCCTCCCCTTGCTGTAGTACTTCTTCCACATCTACTGCCTCCCCTTCAGCACCTCCCAAGTCATGTGACACCTCTGTCACTCTGAAGATGAGGACAACTCGATGGGAATGAGAAGTGGGTCGTTGTTTCCCACCTCTATTCCAAGCGGATGGTGACCTTGCTCCTCCCCGCTCCGACCAACTCCTTGAACATGAGCCCCTCCATGAACTTGGCATCTCTGGTGGTGAAGATGGTGTTGGATTTTGGGTCCCACATGAGCCAGCCCTTGCTCCCCCCGTGCAAGACCCAAATGAACAGCCCACACCGCCGCCGCTTGAAGCTTGTCACGCTTCTCCTTAGGGACATGCACGAGCCCCATGCACCCGAAGACACGAACATATCAACCAGGGGCTTCTTGCCACTCCACTTCTCCATAGGGACCCAATGCTGACCTCCCACATGAGTCAACACCCGGTTCTTGATGACGGTAGCATGACGAATAGTGAGGGGCCAGAACCGCAAGGGTAGACCCGAGTCCACCAATATCGTTCTCTCCGCCCTCTATAATGGTCCGGTTCGCTCTCTCTTGCCACGCCGTTGACTGAGGGGTGTAGGCCGTGGTGAGCTGCTGCTTGATGCCATGCCGCTTCAACCAGCTCCGAACTCCGCTCCCCCCACCACGGTCGCTACGAATCGCCTTCACCCGCTTGCCGCTCTCATCGCTCCACCATGGGCATCCACTCTTCAATGATGACCCTTGCAGCATCACTCTTCTTTGCAAGTGGAAAAGACCAGGTGAGCCTTGTATAATCATCCACCATAGTCATGGAATACAGGGCCCCACCATCTCCTTTCACCTTCATGGGCCCCACAAGATCCACGTGCACGAGCTCCACCGGGTCACTTGACCGCCCCACCGTCGAATGGAAGGGAAATCGTGAGAACTTGCTGGTCAAGCAAGTCTCACAAGAGCCCACCTCCTTGGGCTCCCCCTTTATCCTCAGCCCCTTGACTCTTTCCTCCTTAAACAGCTGATGTAACTGAGGTAGCGCCACGTGGCCAAAGCGACGGTGTGCGGTGAGCCAATCCGTCTCACCCGTATCAGGAGTTAAACTTGGTAGTGCACCCCCCCATGCACAAGCACCCCACCATCACTGCCATCACCACCTCCTCCACTGGTTACGTGGCTTGCATGCCCTTCTCTTACAGCTTCAGCAGCCAAGCGCGCAGCCGCCTCCTTCCATGGCAGCACCGGTATCTCCCACATGGACCGGTGCATGTCCTTGCCGCCTCGGAGGTCCCACAACAGCGCCCATCCAGAGTTGCCTTGAACACCTTGTGCCCATCATCTCCATCTTCATCCCTGCCTCACTCAATGCCTTGGTAGAGAGAAGTTGGCACATAGTCCAGGGACAAGGAGAACACGCTTCAGCCCCACAAGCCTCCCATCCGCACCCATAAACATGGCTCTCCCCTCGCCACGCACGGGTACAACTTGGCCGGTGGCTGAAACAACGGTGGCTGCCTTTGATGGCCTGACTTCATCCAGAAGATCCTCTCGGTTGGTCATGGTCATGAAGCTCCCGTGTCGATGACCCAATGGGAGGAACGGTGAAGAGAAACCTTGCTGGCTGGTACAACCATATCCTCGGAGCATGCCTCTCCTACATGGTAGAACATGCCGCCATGTCCGCCGGCACCTCCATCGCCTCCTCACTGCCCATGCCTTCTCCCATAGCTCCATGAACACCCTTAGAGCCTTCAATTGATGGCTGACCAGGCCTCCAACCATCAGGTAGCTTGCGACACTTAAACCATGGGTGACCTTCCACATGGCAATACCAACACTTGCCGCCACACCGCTTGCCTCCCTTATTGCTACGCTTCCCTCCTGAATACTGCTCCCCTCCAGAGCCTTCCTTGGCCTTGCCTTTCTTGCTGCCACGTCCCTTGAAGCCTTTCATGCCATAGGCAGAGCCTCACCTTCACCGGCAGTGGCGGTCAGCTCCTTCCTCCGAAACTCCTCTTGAAGGACTTGAGCACGAATCCACTCAAGGGACCACGAGTCCTTCATGCCATTGAGGTTGACCACCAAGGGCCCCACGACTCCGGCAGCAGGGAGAGAGCCTTGTAGCACTTGATCTTTTCAGGGTAGTCCACCACCACAGCAGAGAGCTTCACATAGAGGTCCCGGAGTTGATCGAACGCTCCTTGTACGGCATCACCCTCGTTGATCTTCACCGCATGGAGTTGTCGTTCGAGCACCACCACCATCGCTTCGCTGCTGGGGGCATGGACATCCTTCAATATTTTCCATGCCTTGGGACCACACTGGATATCCTTGATGAGATGCTTGATGTGGTGCAGCTGGTTGGATGAGAGGCATTGAGAGAAGAAGGAAAAATCCATCCTTGGATCGGCGATCCCATTCCTTGGTCGCTCCTTCGCTCGCAGGCCTCTTCAATTCTCCATCCATCACTTCAAGCAGCCCATAATGGTTAAATAGGAGGCTCCATCCTGAAGCTCCATGATGCCCAATCCTCCCCAGAGAACTTCTCTAGGTTGAATGCCTTCACATCATCCTTGGCAGGTGTTGAAACGGATGCTATTGGTGAAGATCCGCCTGCAACGCCTCTTCCTGCTTCCCCAGCGCCTCTCACGCCACCACTGCCACTAGGACCAGCTGGAGCAGAACCTTCAGCCTCCATGTTGACCCAGGAACAGAGAAGAACCGCTCTGATACCACTTGTTATAGTTTAGAGTCCACTTAGGGTCGTAGATGCCCTTGAAACCACCTCAGCAGAATCTGACGACTTCAAACCACCTCTGTTCAAAACGTCGTCACGATCAGCTCCAATATCAAACGAAGCTGAAACTTGGACAGACGTTAGCTTCAAGTGTCTGCTTTCTAACGGTATATAGCTTGCTTTCATCAGAGATGTATGCGCTACGCAGTGAACAAAACGTAAGCTCGGCTGAAAACGAGTAGTTTCATTGATGCAAGGAAGAGGTTGAGTACAACATTGCCTAGGGGACTCTTAAGGGGTTGGGACCATCCTGGGAACTCAGAGAAGGTTGAGTCCTAGGGAGAAAGGCTAGAGAAGGATGGGAAACGTCCTAGCTAGGTCAGCAAAGCCAACCACACTTGGATGTTCAGAGCTGTACTCAAGGCTACCAATAGTGAGTCAAGCCAACCATGAGTCAGCTTGTCTTCCCACTTGCACCCTCTTGCAAGCTGCTTCCAGGAAGACCACACTTCTCAAAAGGAGGGTGGTAGAGTCCCATTTGACCACCTGTACTTCTTGTCTCATTCCCTGTCCCTGCACCATTGGCATGACAACAATGAAAGGGTGGCAAGGAAATGCTGCAAACAGTGGCACCATGACTACGGAACAGTAACTTTCGACAGCTGTCACGTGCTGCTCCGATGCTGGGTTGTCCTGAAACTCGGTGAACACCTGCAAAACAAGGCAAAGGACTGCCACACTAATTTTCAGACCAATCAAAGCTCGGTAGATGAGTCAGCAGCCGAATGGTGAACTCGGGTGTTACCAAAAAAGAGTAACACACACTTCCGGGATGCCATAAATCTTGAAACTAAAATGTTGCCATGCCTTGTAAACTGCTTCAATGATTCTGAAACTTTGAGGGTATGAAGAACACATGTTCAAGCACCACCCCACAAAATTCCAGAAGCTAAGCAGGCTTGTAGGCTGAATGGGAGTGCGATGACCGTGCCACTGTAGTACTTTGGCACAACAGACGTGGACGTGGAGGTGGACGTGGACGTGGACGTGGACGTGGACGTGGACATGGTCGTGGACGTGGACGTGGACGTGGACGTGGACGTGGACGTGGACGTGGACGTGGACATGGACGTGGACATGGACGTGGACGTGGACGTGGACGTGGACGTGGACATGGACGTGGACGTGGACGTGGACGTGGACATGGACGTGGACATGGACATGGACGTGGACATGGACGTGGACGTGGACGTGGACGTGGACGTGGACGTGGACGTAGACGTGGACGTGGACATGGACGTGGACGTGGACGTGAACGTGGACGTGGACGTGGACGTGGACGTGGAGGACTTGGACGTGGACATGGACGTGGACGTCGACGTGGACATGGACGTGGACATGGACGTGGACGTGGACGTGGACGTGGACGTGGTCGTGGACGTGGACATGGACGTGGACGTGGACGTGGACGTGGTCGTGGACGTGGACGTGGACGTGGACATGGACGTGGACGTGGACGTGGACGTGGACGTGGACGTGGACGTGGACGTGGACGTGGACGTGGAGGACTTGGACGTGGACATGGACGTGGACGTGGACATGGACGTGGACGTGGACGTGGACATGGACGTGGACGTGGACGTGGACGTGGACGTGGACGTGGACGTGGACATGGACGTGGACATGGACGTGGACGTGGACATGGACGTGGACGTGGACGTGGACGTGGACGTGGACGTGGACGTGGACGTGGACATGGACGTGGACGTGGACGTGGACGTGGACGTGGACGTGGACATGGACGTGGACATGGACGTGGACGTGGACGTGGACATGGACATGGACGTGGACGTGGACGTGGACGTGGACGTGGACATGGACGTGGACGTGGACGTGGACGTGGACGTGGACATGGACGTGGACATGGACGTGGACGTGGACGTGGACGTGGACATGGACGTGGACATGGACGTGGACGTGGACATGGACGTGGACGTGGACATGGACGTGGACGTGGACGTGGACGTGGACCTGGACGTGGACGTGGACATGGACGTGGACGTGGACGTGGAGGACTGGACGTGGACATGGACGTGGACGTGGACGTGGACGTGGACGTGGACGTGGACATGACGTGGACGTGGACGTGGACGTGGACGTGGACGTGGACGTGGACGTGGACGTGGACATGGACGTCGTGGACATGGACGTGGACATGGACGTGGACGTGGACGTGGACGTGGACGTGGACGTGGACGTGGACGTGGACGTGGACATGGACGTGGACGTGGACATGGACATGGACGTGGACGTGGACATGGACATGGACGTGGACGTGGAATGGACGTGGACGTGGACGTGGACGTGGACGTGGACGTGGACGTGGACGTGGACATGGACATGGACGTGGACGTGGACGTGGACGTGGACGTGGACGTGGACGTGGACATGGACGTGGACATGGACGTGGACGTGGACATGGACGTGGACATGGACGTGGACGTGGACGTGGACGTGGACATGGACGTGGACGTGGACGTGGACGTGGACGTGGACGTGGACGTGGACGTGGACATGGACGTGGACGTGGACGTGGACGTGGACGTGGACGTGGACGTGGACGTGGACGTGGACGTGGACATGGACGTGGACGTGGACGTGGACGTGGACGTGGACATGGACATGGACGTGGACGTGGACGTGGACGTGGACGTGGACGTGGACGTGGACGTGGACGTGGAGGACTTGGACGTGGACATGGACGTGGACGTGGACGTGGACGTGGACATGGACGTGGACATGGACGTGGACGTGGACGTGGACGTGGACGTGGACATGGACGTGGACGTGGACGTGGACGTGGACGTGGACGTGGACGTGGACGTGGACGTGGACGTGGACGTGGACGTGGACGTGGACGTGGAGGACTTGGACGTGGACGTGGACGTGGACGTGGACATGGACGTGGACGTGGACGTGGACATGGACGTGGACATGGACGTGGACGTGGACGTGGACATGGACGTGGACATGGACGTGGACGTGGACGTGGACGTGGACATGGACATGGACGTGGACGTGGACGTGGACGTGGACATGGACGTGGACGTGGACGTGGCGTGGCTTGTGGTGAATGGGAGTGCGTGATGACCGTGGACTGTGGACTTTGGACATGGACGTGGACGTGGACGTGGACGTGGACGTGGACGTGGACGTGGACATGGACGTGGACGTGGACGTGGACGTGGACGTGGACGTGGACGTGGACATGGACGTGGACATGGACGTGGACGTGGACGTGGACGTGGACGTGGACATGGACGTGGACGTGGACGTGGACGTGGACGTGGACATGGACGTGGACATGGACGTGGACGTGGACGTGGACGTGGACGTGGACGTGGACGTGGACGTGGACGTGGACATGGACGTGGACGTGGACGTGGACGTGGACGTGGACGTGGACGTGGACGTGGACGTGGACGTGGAGGACTTGGACGTGGACATGGACGTGGACGTGGACGTGGACGTGGACGTGGACATGGACGTGGACGTGGACGTGGACGTGGACGTGGACGTGGACGTGGACGTGGACGTGGACGTGGACGTGGACGTGGACGTGGACGTGGACGTGGACGTGGACGTGGACATGGACGTGGACGTGGACGTGGACGTGGACGTGGACGTGGACGTGGACGTGGACGTGGACGTGGAGGACGTGGACGTGGACATGGACGTGGACGTGGACATGGACGTGGACGTGGACGTGGACATGGACGTGGACGTGGACGTGGACGTGGACGTGGACGTGGACGTGGACATGGACGTGGACATGGACGTGGACGTGGACATGGACGTGGACGTGGACGTGGACGTGGACGTGGACGTGGACGTGGACGTGGACGTGGACGTGGACGTGGACGTGGACGTGGACGTGGACGTGGACGTGGACATGGACGTGGACGTGGACGTGGACGTGGACGTGGACGTGGACGTGGACGTGGACGTGGACGTGGACGTGGACATGGACGTGGACGTGGACGTGGACGTGGACGTGGACATGGACGTGGACGTGGACGTGGACGTGGACGTGGACGTGGACATGGACGTGGACATGGACGTGGACGTGGACATGGACGTGGACGTGGACATGGACGTGGACGTGGACATGGACGTGGACGTGGACGTGGACGTGGACATGGACGTGGACGTGGACATGGACGTGGACGTGGACGTGGACGTGGACGTGGACGTGGACGTGGACGTGGACGTGGACGTGGACGTGGACGTGGACGTGGACGTGGACGTGGACGTGGACGTGGACGTGGACGTGGACGTGGACGTGGACGTGGACATGGACGTGGACATGGACGTCGTGGACATGGACGTGGACGTGGACGTGGACGTGGACGTGGACGTGGACGTGGACGTGGACATGGACGTGGACGTGGACGTGGACGTGGACGTGGACGTGGACGTGGACATGGACGTGGACGTGGACGTGGACGTGGACGTGGACGTGGACGTGGACGTGGACGTGGACGTGGACGTGGAGGACGTGGACGTGGACATGGACGTGGACGTGGACATGGACGTGGACGTGGACGTGGACGTGGACGTGGACATGGACGTGGACGTGGACGTGGACATGGACGTGGACATGGACGTGGACGTGGACATGGACGTGGACATGGACGTGGACGTGGACGTGGACGTGGACATGGACGTGGACGTGGACGTGGACGTGGACGTGGACATGGACGTGGACGTGGACGTGGACGTGGACGTGGACATGGACGTGGACGTGGACGTGGACGTGGACGTGGACGTGGACGTGGACGTGGACATGGACGTGGACGTGGACGTGGACGTGGACATGGACGTGGACATGGACGTGGACGTGGACGTGGACGTGGACATGGACGTGGACGTGGACGTGGACGTGGACGTGGACATGGACGTGGACATGGACGTGGACGTGGACATGGACGTGGACGTGGACGTGGACGTGGACATGGACGTGGACGTGGACGTGGACGTGGACGTGGACATGGACGTGGACATGGACGTGGACGTGGACGTGGACGTGGACGTGGAGACGTGGACGTGGACATGGACGTGGACGTGGACGTGGACGTGGACGTGGACATGGACGTGGACGTGGACGTGGACGTGGACGTGGACGTGGACGTGGACATGGACGTGGACATGGACGTGGACGTGGACATGGACGTGGACGTGGACGTGGACGTGGACGTGGACGTGGACGTGGACATGGACGTGGACGTGGACGTGGACGTGGACGTGGACATGGACGTGGACGTGGACGTGGACGTGGACGTGGACGTGGACATGGACGTGGACGTGGACGTGGACGTGGACGTGGACGTGGACATGGACGTGGACGTGGACATGGACGTGGACATGGACGTGGACGTGGACGTGGACGTGGACATGGACGTGGACGTGGACGTGGACGTGGACGTGGACGTGGACGTGGACGTGGACGTGGAGGACGTGGACGTGGACGTGGACGTGGACATGGACGTGGACGTGGACGTGGACATGGACGTGGACGTGGACGTGGACATGGACGTGGACGTGGACGTGGACGTGGACGTGGACGTGGACATGGACGTGGACGTGGACGTGGAGAACGTGGACGTGGACATGGACGTGGACGTGGACGTGGACGTGGACGTGGACATGGACGTGGACGTGGACGTGGACGTGGACGTGGACGTGGACGTGGACATGGACGTGGACATGGACGTGGACGTGGACATGGACGTGGACATGGACGTGGACGTGGACGTGGACGTGGACATGGACGTGGACGTGGACATGGACATGGACGTGGACGTGGACGTGGACGTGGACGTGGAGAACGTGGACGTGGACATGGACGTGGACATGGACGTGGACGTGGACGTGGACATGGACGTGGACGTGGACGTGGACATGGACGTGGACGTGGACGTGGACGTGGACGTGGACGTGGACATGGACGTGGACGTGGACGTGGACGTGGACGTGGACGTGGACGTGGTGGACGTGGACATGGACGTGGACGTGGACGTGGACGTGGACGTGGACGTTGGACGTGGACGTGGACGTGGACGTGGACGTGGACGTGGAGGACTTGGACGTGGACATGGACGTGGACGTGGACGTGGACGTGGACGTGGACATGGACGTGGACGTGGACGTGGACGTGGACGTGGACGTGGACGTGGACATGGACGTGGACGTGGACGTGGACGTGGACGTGGACGTGGACGTGGACGTGGACGTGGACATGGACGTGGACGTGGACGTGGACGTGGACGTGGACGTGGACGTGGACGTGGACGTGGACGTGGACGTGGACGTGGACGTGGACGTGGACGTGGACGTGGACGTGGACGTGGACGTGGACGTGGACGTGGACATGGACGTGGACGTGGACATGGACGTGGACGTGGACGTGGACGTGGACGTGGACGTGGACGTGGACATGGACGTGGACGTGGACGTGGACGTGGAGGACTTGGACGTGGACGTGGAGGACGTGGACATGGACGTGGACGTGGACGTGGACGTGGACGTGGACGTGGACATGACGTGGACGTGGACGTGGACGTGGACGTGGACGTGGACGTGGACGTGGACGTGGACATGGACGTGGACATGGACGTCGTGGACATGGACGTGGACATGGACGTGGACGTGGACGTGGACGTGGACGTGGACGTGGACATGGACGTGGACATGGACGTGGACGTGGACATGGACGTGGACGTGGACGTGGACGTGGACATGGACGTGGACGTGGACGTGGACGTGGACGTGGACGTGGACGTGGACGTGGACGTGGACGTGGACGTGGACATGGACGTGGACGTGGACGTGGACGTGGACGTGGACGTGGACGTGGACGTGGACGTGGACATGGACGTGGACGTGGACGTGGACGTGGACGTGGACGTGGACGTGGACGTGGACGTGGACGTGGACGTGGACATGGACGTGGACGTGGACGTGGACGTGGACGTGGACGTGGACGTGGACGTGGACGTGGACGTGGACGTGGACGTGGACGTGGACGTGGACATGGACGTGGACGTGGACGTGGACGTGGACGTGGACGTGGACGTGGACGTGGACGTGGACGTGGACGTGGACGTGGACGTGGACGTGGACGTGGACGTGGACGTGGACGGACGTGGACGTGGACATGGACGTGGACGTGGACGTGGACGTGGACGTGGACATGGACGTGGACGTGGACGTGGACGTGGACGTGGACGTGGACGTGGACGTGGACGTGGACGTGGACGTGGACGTGGACGTGGACGTGGACGTGGACGTGGACGTGGACGTGGACGTGGACGTGGACGTGGACGTGGACGTGGACGGACGTGGACGTGGACATGGACGTGGACGTGGACGTGGACGTGGACGTGGACGTGGACGTGGACGTGGACGTGGACGTGGACGTGGACGTGGACGTGGACGTGGACGTGGACGTGGACGTGGACATGGACGTGGACGTGGACGTGGACGTGGACGTGGACGTGGACGTGGACGTGGACGTGGACGTGGACGTGGACGTGGACGTGGACGTGGACGTGGACGTGGACGTGGACGTGGACGTGGACGTGGACGTGGACGTGGACATGGACGTGGACGTGGACGTGGACGTGGACATGGACGTGGACGTGGACGTGGACGTGGACGTGGACGTGGACATGGACGTGGACGTGGACGTGGACGTGGACATGGACGTGGACGTGGACGTGGACATGGACGTGGACGTGGACGTGGACGTGGACGTGGACGTGGACGTGGACGTGGACATGGACGTGGACGTGGACTGGACGTGGACGTGGACGTGGACATGGACGTGGACGTGGACGTGGACATGGACGTGGACGTGGACGTGGACGTGGACGTGGACGTGGACGTGGAGTGGAGGACGTGGATGGACGTGGAGACGTGGACGTGGACATGGACGTGGACGTGGACGTGGACGTGGACGTGGACGTGGACATGGACGTGGACATGGACGTGGACGTGGACGTGGACGTGGACGTGGACGTGGACGTGGACGTGGACGTGGACGTGGACGTGGACGTGGACGTGGACGTGGACGTGGACGTGGACATGGACGTGGACGTGGACGTGGACGTGGACGTGGACATGGACGTGGACGTGGACGTGGACGTGGACGTGGACGTGGACGTGGACGTGGACGTGGAGACGTGGACGTGGACATGGACGTGGACATGGACGTGGACGTGGACGTGGACATGGACGTGGACGTGGACATGGACGTGGACGTGGACGTGGACGTGGACGTGGACGTGGACGTGGACGTGGACGTGGACGTGGACGTGGACGTGGACGTGGACGTGGACGTGGACGTGGACGTGGACGTGGACATGGACGTGGACGTGGACGTGGACGTGGACGTGGACGTGGACGTGGACGTGGACGTGGACGTGGACGTGGACGTGGACGTGGACATGGACGTGGACGTGGACGTGGACGTGGACGTGGACGTGGACGTGGACGTGGACGTGGACGTGGACGTGGACGTGGACGTGGACGTGGACGTGGACGTGGACGTGGACGTGGACGTGGACGTGGACGTGGACGTGGAGGACGTGGACGTGGACATGGACGTGGACGTGGACGTGGACGTGGACGTGGACGTGGACGTGGACGTGGACGTGGACGTGGACGTGGACGTGGACGTGGACGTGGACGTGGACATGGACGTGGACATGGACGTGGACGTGGACGTGGACGTGGACGTGGACGTGGACGTGGACATGGACGTGGACGTGGACATGGACGTGGACATGGACGTGGACGTGGACATGGACGTGGACGTGGACGTGGACGTGGACGTGGACGTGGACGTGGACGTGGACGTGGACGTGGACGTGGACGTGGACGTGGACGTGGACGTGGACGTGGACGTGGACGTGGACATGGACGTGGACGTGGACGTGGACGTGGACGTGGACGTGGACGTGGACGTGGACGTGGACGTGGACGTGGACGTGGACGTGGACGTGGACGTGGACGTGGACGTGGACGTGGACGTGGACGTGGACGTGGACGTGGACGTGGACGTGGACGTGGACGTGGACGTGGACGTGGACATGGACGTGGACGTGGACGTGGACGTGGACGTGGACATGGACGTGGACGTGGACGTGGACGTGGACGTGGACGTGGACGTGGACGTGGACGTGGACGTGGACGTGGACGTGGACGTGGACGTGGACGTGGACGTGGACGTGGACGTGGACGTGGACATGGACGTGGACGTGGACATGGACGTGGACGTGGACGTGGACATGGACGTGGACGTGGACGTGGACGTGGACGTGGACATGGACGTGGACGTGGACGTGGACGTGGACGTGGACGTGGAGACTTGGACGTGGACGTGGACGTGGACGTGGACGTGGACGTGGACGTGGACATGGACGTGGACGTGGACGTGGACATGGACGTGGACGTGGACGTGGACGTGGACGTGGACGTGGACATGGACGTGGACGTGGACGTGGACGTGGACGTGGACGTGGACGTGGACGTGGACATGGACGTGGACATGGACGTGGACGTGGACGTGGACGTGGACGTGGACGTGGACGTGGACATGGACGTGGACGTGGACGTGGACGTGGACGTGGAGGACGTGGACGTGGACGTGGACGTGGACGTGGACGTGGACGTGGACGTGGACGTGACGTGGACGTGGACGTGGACGTGGACGTGGACGTGGACGTGGACGTGGACGTGGACATGGACGTGGACGTGGACGTGTGACGTGGACGTGGACATGGACGTGGACGTGGACGTGGACGTGGACGTGGACGTGGACGTGGACGTGGACGTGGACGTGGACATGGACGTGGACGTGGACGTGGACGTGGACGTGGACGTGGACGTGGACGTGGACGTGGACGTGGACGTGGACGTGGACGTGGACGTGGACGTGGACGTGGACATGGACGTGGACGTGGACGTGGACGTGGACGTGGACGTGGACGTGGACGTGGACGTGGACGTGGACGTGGACGTGGACGTGGACGTGGACGTGGACGTGGACGTGGACGTGGACGTGGACGTGGACGTGGACATGGACGTGGACGTGGACGTGGACGTGGACGTGGACGTGGACGTGGACGTGGACGTGGACGTGGACGTGGACGTGGACGTGGACGTGGACGTGGACGTGGACGTGGACGTGGACGTGGACGTGGACGTGGACGTGGACGTGGACGTGGACGTGGACGTGGACGTGGACGTGGACGTGGACGTGGACGTGGAGGACGTGGACGTGGACATGGACGTGGACGTGGACGTGGACGTGGACGTGGACATGGACGTGGACGTGGACGTGGACGTGGACGTGGACGTGGACGTGGACGTGGACGTGGACGTGGACGTGGACGTGGACGTGGACGTGGACGTGGACGTGGACGTGGACGTGGACGTGGACGTGGACGTGGACGTGGACGTGGACGGACGTGGACGTGGACGTGGACGTGGACGTGGACATGGACGTGGACGTGGACGTGGACGTGGACGTGGACGTGGACGTGGACGTGGACGTGGACGTGGACGTGGACGTGGACGTGGACGTGGACATGGACGTGGACGTGGACGTGGACGTGGACGTGGACGTGGACGTGGACGTGGACGTGGACGTGGACGTGGACGTGGACGTGGACGTGGACGTGGACGTGGACGTGGACGTGGACGTGGACGTGGACGTGGACGTGGACGTGGACGTGGACGTGGACGTGGACATGGACGTGGACGTGGACGTGGACGTGGACATGGACGTGGACATGGACGTGGACGTGGACGTGGACGTGGACGTGGACGTGGACGTGGACGTGGACGTGGACGTGGACGTGGACGTGGACGTGGACATGGACGTGGACGTGGACGTGGACATGGACGTGGACGTGGACGTGGACGTGGACGTGGACGTGGACGTGGACGTGGACGTGGACGTGGACGTGGACGTGGACGTGGACGTGGACGTGGACGTGGACGTGGACGTGGACGTGGACGTGGACGTGGACGTGGACGTGGACGTGGACGTGGACGTGGACATGGACGTGGACGTGGACGTGGACGTGGACATGGACGTGGACGTGGACGTGGACGTGGACGTGGACGTGGACATGGACGTGGACGTGGACGTGGACGTGGACGTGGACATGGACGTGGACGTGGACGTGGACGTGGACGTGGACGTGGACATGGACGTGGACGTGGACGTGGACGTGGACGTGGACATGGACGTGGACGTGGACGTGGACGTGGACGTGGACGTGGACGTGGACGTGGACGTGGACGTGGACGTGGACGTGGACGTGGACGTGGACGTGGACGTGGACATGGACGTGGACATGGACGTGGACGTGGACGTGGACATGGACGTGGACGTGGACGTGGACATGGACGTGGACGTGGACGTGGACGTGGACGTGGACGTGGACGTGGACGTGGACGTGGACGTGGACGTGGACGTGGACGTGGACGTGGACGTGGACGTGGACGTGGACGTGGACGTGGACGTGGACGTGGACGTGGACGTGGACATGGACGTGGACGTGGACGTGGACGTGGACATGGACGTGGACGTGGACGTGGACGTGGACATGGACGTGGACGTGGACGTGGACGTGGACGTGGACGTGGACGTGGACGTGGACGTGGACGTGGACGTGGACGTGGACGTGGACGTGGACGTGGACGTGGACGTGGACGTGGACGTGGACGTGGACGTGGACGTGGACGTGGACATGGACGTGGACATGGACGTGGACGTGGACGTGGACGTGGACATGGACGTGGACGTGGACGTGGACGTGGACGTGGACGTGGACATGGACGTGGACGTGGACGTGGACGTGGACGTGGACGTGGACGTGGACGTGGACGTGGACGTGGACGTGGACGTGGACGTGGACGTGGACGTGGACGTGGACGTGGACGTGGACGTGGACGTGGACGTGGACGTGGACGTGGACATGGACGTGGACATGGACGTGGACGTGGACGTGGACGTGGACGTGGACGTGGACGTGGACGTGGACGTGGACGTGGACGTGGACGTGGACGTGGACGTGGACGTGGACGTGGACGTGGACGTGGACGTGGACGTGGACGTGGACGTGGACGTGGACATGGACGTGGACGTGGACGTGGACGTGGACATGGACGTGGACGTGGACGTGGACGTGGACATGGACGTGGACGTGGACGTGGACGTGGACGTGGACGTGGACGTGGACATGGACGTGGACGTGGACGTGGACGTGGACATGGACGTGGACGTGGACGTCGTGGACGTGGACGTGGACATGGACGTGGACGTGGACGTGGACGTGGACGTGGACGTGGACGTGGACGTGGACGTGGACGTGGACGTGGACGTGGACGTGGACGTGGACGTGGACGTGGACGTGGACGTGGACGTGGACGTGGACGTGGACGTGGACGTGGACGTGGACGTGGACGTGGACGTGGACGTGGACGTGGACGTGGACGTGGACGTGGACGTGGACGTGGACGTGGACGTGGACGTGGACATGGACGTGGACGTGGACGTGGACGTGGACGTGGACGTGGACGTGGACGTGGACGTGGACGTGGACGTGGACGTGGACATGGACGTGGACGTGGACGTGGACGTGGACGTGGACGTGGACGTGGACGTGGACGTGGACGTGGACGTGGACGTGGACGTGGACGTGGACGTGGACGTGGACGTGGACGTGGACGTGGACGTGGACGTGGACGTGGACGTGGACGTGGACATGGACGTGGACGTGGACGTGGACGTGGACGTGGACATGGACGTGGACGTGGACGTGGACGTGGACGTGGACGTGGACGTGGACATGGACGTGGACGTGGACGTGGACGTGGACATGGACGTGGACGTGGACGTGGACGTGGACGTGGACGTGGACGTGGACATGGACGTGGACGTGGACGTGGACGTGGACGTGGACATGGACGTGGACGTGGACGTGGACGTGGACATGGACGTGGACGTGGACGTGGACGTGGACGTGGACGTGGACGTGGACGTGGACGTGGACGTGGACGTGGACGTGGACGTGGACGTGGACGTGGACATGGACGTGGACGTGGACGTGGACGTGGACGTGGACGTGGACGTGGACGTGGACGTGGACGTGGACGTGGACGTGGACGTGGACGTGGACGTGGACGTGGACGTGGACGTGGACGTGGACGTGGACGTGGACGTGGACGTGGACGTGGACGTGGACGTGGACGTGGACGTGGACGTGGACGTGGACATGGACGTGGACGTGGACGTGGACGTGGACGTGGACGTGGACATGGACGTGGACGTGGACGTGGACGTGGACGTGGACGTGGACGTGGACGTGGACGTGGACGTGGACGTGGACGTGGACGTGGACATGGACGTGGACGTGGACGTGGACGTGGACGTGGACGTGGACGTGGACGTGGACGTGGACATGGACGTGGACGTGGACGTGGACGTGGACGTGGACGTGGACGTGGACGTGGACGTGGACGTGGACGTGGACGTGGACGTGGACGTGGACGTGGACGTGGACGTGGACGTGGACGTGGACGTGGACGTGGACGTGGACATGGACGTGGACGTGGACGTGGACGTGGACGTGGACGTGGACGTGGACGTGGACGTGGACGTGGACGTGGACGTGGACGTGGACGTGGACGTGGACGTGGACGTGGACGTGGACGTGGACGTGGACGTGGACGTGGACGTGGACGTGGACGTGGACGTGGACGTGGACGTGGACGTGGACGTGGACGTGGACGTGGACGTGGACGTGGACGTGGACGTGGACGACGTGGACGTGGACGTGGACGTGGACATGGACGTGGACGTGGACGTGGACGTGGACGTGGACGTGGATGGACGTGGACGTGGACGTGGACGTGGACGTGGACGTGGACGTGGACGGACGTGGACGTGGACATGGACGTGGACGTGGACGTGGACATGGACGTGGACGTGGACGTGGACGTGGACGTGGACGTGGACGTGGACGTGGACGTGGACGTGGACGTGGACATGGACGTGGACGTGGACGTGGACGTGGACGTGGACGTGGACGTGGACGTGGACGTGGACGTGGACGTGGACGTGGACGTGGACGTGGACGTGGACATGGACGTGGACGTGGACGTGGACGTGGACGTGGACGTGGACGTGGACGTGGACGTGGACGTGGACATGGACGTGGACGTGGACGTGGACGTGGACGTGGACGTGGACGTGGACGTGGACGTGGACGTGGACGTGGACGTGGACGTGGACGTGGACGTGGACGTGGACGTGGACGTGGACGTGGACGTGGACGTGGACGTGGACGTGGACGTGGACGTGGACGTGGACGTGGACGTGGACGTGGACGTGGACGTGGACGTGGACGTGGACGTGGAGGACGTGGACGTGGACGTGGACGTGGACGTGGACGTGGACGTGGACGTGGAGGACGTGGACGTGGACATGGACGTGGACGTGGACGTGGACGTGGACGTGGACGTGGACGTGGACGTGGACGTGGACGTGGACGTGGACGTGGACGTGGACGTGGACATGGACGTGGACGTGGACGTGGACGTGGACGTGGACGTGGACGTGGACGTGGACGTGGACGTGGACGTGGACGTGGACGTGGACGTGGACGTGGACGTGGACGTGGACGTGGACGTGGAGGACGTGGACGTGGACATGGACGTGGACGTGGACGTGGACGTGGACGTGGACATGGACGTGGACGTGGACGTGGACGTGGACATGGACGTGGACGTGGACGTGGACGTGGACGTGGACGTGGACGTGGACGTGGAGAACGTGGACGTGGACATGGACGTGGACGTGGACGTGGACGTGGACGTGGACGTGGACGTGGACGTGGACGTGGACGTGGACGTGGACGTGGACGTGGACGTGGACGTGGACGTGGACGTGGACATGGACGTGGACGTGGACGTGGACGTGGACGTGGACGTGGACGTGGACGTGGACGTGGACGTGGACGTGGACGTGGACGTGGACGTGGACGTGGACGTGGACGTGGACGTGGACGTGGACGTGGACGTGGACGTGGACGTGGACGTGGACGTGGACGTGGACGTGGACGTGGACGTGGACGTGGACGTGGACGTGGACGTGGACGTGGACGTGGACGTGGACGTGGACGTGGACGGAGTGGACGTGGACGTGGACGTGGACGTGGACGTGGACGTGGACGTGGAGGACGTGGACGTGGACATGGACGTGGACGTGGACGTGGACGTGGACGTGGACGTGGACGTGGACGTGGACGTGGACATGGACGTGGACGTGGACGTGGACGTGGACGTGGACGTGGACGTGGACGTGGACGTGGACGTGGACGTGGACATGGACGTGGACGTGGACGTGGACGTGGACGTGGACGTGGACGTGGACGTGGACGTGGACGTGGACGTGGACGTGGACATGGACGTGGACGTGGACGTGGACGTGGACATGGACGTGGACGTGGACGTGGACGTGGACATGGACGTGGACGTGGACGTGGACGTGGACGTGGACGTGGACGTGGACGTGGACGTGGACGTGGACGTGGACGTGGACGTGGACGTGGACGTGGACGTGGACACGTGGACGTGGACGTGGACGTGGAGGACGTGGACGTGGACGTGGACGTGGACATGGACGTGGACGTGGACGTGGACGTGGACGTGGACGTGGACATGGACGTGGACGTGGACGTGGACGTGGACATGGACGTGGACGTGGACGTGGACGTGGACGTGGACGTGGACGTGGACGTGGACGTGGACGTGGACGTGGACGTGGACGTGGACGTGGACGTGGACGTGGACGTGGACGTGGACGTGGACATGGACGTGGACGTGGACGTGGACGTGGACGTGGACGTGGACGTGGACGTGGACGTGGACGTGGACGTGGACGTGGACGTGGACATGGACGTGGACGTGGACGTGGACGTGGACATGGACGTGGACGTGGACGTGGACGTGGACGTGGACGTGGACATGGACGTGGACATGGACGTGGACGTGGACGTGGACGTGGACGTGGACGTGGACGTGGACGTGGACGTGGACGTGGACGTGGACGTGGACGTGGACGTGGACGTGGACGTGGACGTGGACGTGGACGTGGACGTGGACGTGGACGTGGACATGGACGTGGACGTGGACGTGGACGTGGACGTGGACGTGGACGTGGACGTGGACGTGGACGTGGACGTGGACGTCGTGGACGTGGACGTGGACATGGACGTGGACGTGGACGTGGACGTGGACGTGGACGTGGACGTGGACGTGGACGTGGACATGGACGTGGACGTGGACATGGACGTGGACGTGGACGTGGACGTGGACATGGACGTGGACGTGGACGTGGACGTGGACGTGGACGTGGACGTGGACGTGGACGTGGACGTGGACGTGGACATGGACGTGGACGTGGACGTGGACGTGGACGTGGACGTGGACGTGGACGTGGACATGGACGTGGACGTGGACGTGGACGTGGACGTGGACGTGGACGTGGACGTGGACGTGGACGTGGACATGGACGTGGACGTGGACGTGGACGTGGACGTGGACGTGGACGTGGACGTGGACGTGGACATGGACGTGGACGTGGACGTGGACGTGGACGTGGACGTGGACATGGACGTGGACGTGGACGTGGACGTGGACGTGGACATGGACGTGGACGTGGACGTGGACGTGGACGTGGACGTGGACGTGGACGTGGACGTGGACGTGGACGTGGACATGGACGTGGACATGGACGTGGACGTGGACATGGACGTGGACGTGGACGTGGACGTGGACGTGGACGTGGACGTGGACGTGGACGTGGACGTGGACGTGGACGTGGACGTGGACGTGGACGTGGACGTGGACGTGGACATGGACGTGGACGTGGACGTGGACGTGGACGTGGACGTGGACGTGGACGTGGACGTGGACGTGGACGTGGACGTGGACGTGGACGTGGACGTGGACGTGGACGTGGACGTGGACGTGGACGTGGACGTGGACGTGGACGTGGACGTGGACGTGGACGTGGACGTGGACGTGGACGTGGACGTGGACGTGGACGTGGAGGACGTGGACGTGGACGTGGACGTGGACGTGGACGTGGACGTGGACGTGGAGGACGTGGACGTGGACGTGGACGTGGACGTGGACGTGGACGTGGACGTGGACATGGACGTGGACGTGGACGTGGACGTGGACGTGGACGTGGACGTGGACATGGACGTGGACGTGGACGTGGACGTGGACGTGGACGTGGACGTGGACGTGGACGTGGACATGGACGTGGACGTGGACGTGGACGTGGACGTGGACGTGGACGTGGACGTGGACGTGGACGTGGACGTGGACTTGACGTGGACGTGGACGTGGACGTGGACGTGGACGTGGACGTGGACATGGACGTGGACATGGACGTGGACGTGGACATGGACGTGGACGTGGACGTGGACGTGGACGTGGACGTGGACGTGGACGTGGACGTGGACATGGACGTGGACATGGACGTGGACGTGGACGTGGACGTGGACGTGGACGTGGACGTGGACGTGGACGTGGACGTGGACATGGACGTGGACGTGGACGTGGACGTGGACGTGGACGTGGACATGGACGTGGACGTGGACGTGGACGTGGACATGGACGTGGACGTGGACGTGGACGTGGACGTGGACGTGGACGTGGACATGGACGTGGACGTGGACGTGGACGTGGACGTGGACGTGGACGTGGACGTGGACGTGGACGTGGACGTGGACGTGGACGTGGACGTGGACGTGGACGTGGACGTGGACGTGGACGTGGACGTGGACGTGGACGTGGACGTGGACGTGGACGTGGACGTGGACGTGGACATGGACGTGGACGTGGACGTGGACGTGGACGTGGACGTGGACGTGGACGTGGACGTGGACGTGGACGGACGTGGACGTGGACATGGACGTGGACGTGGACGTGGACGTGGACGTGGACGTGGACATGGACGTGGACGTGGACGTGGACGTGGACGTGGACGTGGACGTGGACGTGGACATGGACGTGGACGTGGTCGTGGACGTGGACGTGACGTGGACGTGGACGTGGACGTGGACGTGACGTGGACGTGGACGTGGACGTGGACGTGGACGTGGACGTGGACGTGGACGTGGACATGGACGTGGACGTGGACGTGGACGTGGACATGGACGTGGACATGGACGTGGACGTGGACATGGACGTGGACGTGGACATGGACGTGGACGTGGACGTGGACGTGGACGTGGACGTGGACGTGGACGTGGACGTGGACGTGGACGTGGACGTGGACATGGACGTGGACGTGGACGTGGACGTGGACGTGGACGTGGACGTGGACGTGGACGTGGACGTGGACGTGGACGTGGACGTGGACGTGGACATGGACGTGGACGTGGACGTGGACGTGGACGTGGACGTGGACGTGGACGTGGACGTGGACATGGACGTGGACGTGGACGTGGACGTGGACGTGGACGTGGACGTGGACGTGGACGTGGACGTGGACGTGGACGTGGACGTGGACGTGGACGTGGACGTGGACGTGGACGTGGACGTGGACGTGGACGTGGACGTGGACGTGGACGTGGACGTGGACGTGGACGTGGACGTGGAGAACGTGGACGTGGACATGGACGTGGACGTGGACGTGGACGTGGACGTGGACATGGACGTGGACGTGGACGTGGACGTGGACGTGGACGTGGACGTGGACGTGGACGTGGACGTGGACGTGGACGTGGACGTGGACGTGGACGTGGACGTGGACGTGGACGTGGACGTGGACGTGGACATGGACGTGGACGTGGACGTGGACGTGGACGTGGACGTGGACGTGGACGTGGACGTGGACGTGGACGTGGACGTGGACGTGGACGTGGACGTGGACGTGGACGTGGACGTGGACGTGGACGTGGACGTGGACGTGGACGTGGACGTGGACATGGACGTGGACGTGGACGTGGACGTGGACATGGACGTGGACGTGGACGTGGACGTGGACGTGGACGTGGACGTGGACGTGGACGTGGACGTGGACGTGGACGTGGACGTGGACGTGGACGTGGACATGGACGTGGACGTGGACGTGGACGTGGACGTGGACGTGGACGTGGACATGGACGTGGACGTGGACGTGGACGTGGACGTGGACGTGGACGTGGACGTGGACGTGGACGTGGACGTGGACATGGACGTGGACGTGGACGTGGACGTGGACGTGGACATGGACGTGGACGTGGACGTGGACGTGGACATGGACGTGGACGTGGACGTGGACGTGGACGTGGACGTGGACGTGGACGTGGACGTGGACGTGGACATGGACGTGGACGTGGACGTGGACGTGGACATGGACGTGGACATGGACGTGGACGTGGACGTGGACGTGGACGTGGACGTGGACGTGGACGTGGACATGGACGTGGACGTGGACGTGGACGTGGACGTGGACGTGGACGTGGACGTGGACGTGGACGTGGACGTGGACGTGGACATGGACGTGGACGTGGACGTGGACGTGGACGTGGACGTGGACGTGGACGTGGACGTGGACGTGGACGTGGACGTGGACGTGGACGTGGACGTGGACGTGGACGTGGACGTGGACGTGGACGTGGACGTGGACGTGGACGTGGACGTGGACGTGGACATGGACGTGGACGTGGACGTGGACGTGGACGTGGACGTGGACGTGGACGTGGACGTGGACGTGGACGTGGACGTGGACGTGGACGTGGACGTGGACGTGGACGTGGAGGACGTGGACGTGGACGTGGACGTGGACGTGGACGTGGACGTGGACGTGGACGTGGACGTGGACGTGGACGTGGACGTGGACGTGGACGTGGACGTGGACGTGGACGTGGACGTGGACGTGGACGTGGACGTGGACGTGGACGTGGACGTGGACGTGGACGTGGACGTGGACGTGGACGTGGACGTGGACGTGGACGTGGACGTGGACGTGGACGTGGACGTGGACGTGGACGTGGACGTGGACATGGACGTGGACATGGACGTGGACGTGGACGTGGACGTGGACGTGGACGTGGACGTGGACGTGGACGTGGACGTGGACGTGGACGTGGACGTGGACGTGGACGTGGACGTGGACGTGGACGTGGACGTGGACGTGGACGTGGACGTGGACGTGGACGTGGACGTGGACGTGGACGTGGACGTGGACGTGGACGTGGACGTGGACGTGGACGTGGACGTGGACGTGGACATGGACGTGGACGTGGACATGGACGTGGACGTGGACGTGGACGTGGACGTGGACGTGGACATGGACGTGGACGTGGACGTGGACGTGGACATGGACGTGGACGTGGACGTGGACATGGACGTGGACGTGGACGTGGAGAACGTGGACGTGGACATGGACGTGGACGTGGACGTGGACGTGGACGTGGACATGGACGTGGACGTGGACGTGGACGTGGACGTGGACGTGGACGTGGACGTGGACGTGGACGTGGACGTGGACATGGACGTGGACGTGGACGTGGACGTGGACGTGGACGTGGACGTGGACGTGGACGTGGACGTGGACATGGACGTGGACGTGGACGTGGACGTGGACGTGGACGTGGACGTGGACGTGGACGTGGACGTGGACGTGGACGTGGACGTGGACGTGGACGTGGACGTGGACGGACGTGGACGTGGACGTGGACGTGGACGTGGACATGGACGTGGACGTGGACGTGGACGTGGACGTGGACGTGGACGTGGACGTGGACGTGGACGTGGACGTGGACGTGGACGTGGACGTGGACGTGGACGTGGACGTGGACGTGGACGTGGACGTGGACGTGGACGTGGACGTGGACATGGACGTGGACGTGGACATGGACGTGGACGTGGACATGGACGTGGACATGGACGTGGACGTGGACGTGGACATGGACGTGGACGTGGACGTGGACGTGGACGTGGACGTGGACGTGGACGTGGACGTGGACGTGGACGTGGACATGGACGTGGACGTGGACGTGGACGTGGACATGGACGTGGACGTGGACGTGGACGTGGACGTGGACGTGGACGTGGACGTGGACGTGGACGTGGACGTGGACATGGACGTGGACGTGGACGTGGACGTGGACATGGACGTGGACATGGACGTGGACGTGGACGTGGACGTGGACGGACGTGGACGTGGACGTGGACGTGGACGTGGACATGGACGTGGACGTGGACGTGGACGTGGACGTGGACGTGGACGTGGACGTGGACGTGGACGTGGACGTGGACGTGGACGTGGACGTGGACGTGGACGTGGACGTGGACGTGGACGTGGACGTGGACGTGGACGTGGACGTGGACGTGGACGTGGACGTGGACGTGGACGTGGACGTGGACGTGGACGTGGACGTGGACGTGGACGTGGACGTGGACATGGACGTGGACGTGGACATGGACGTGGACGTGGACGTGGACGTGGACGTGGACGTGGACGTGGACGTGGACGTGGAGGACGTGGACGTGGACATGGACGTGGACGTGGACATGGACGTGGACGTGGACGGACGTGGACGTGGACATGGACGTGGACGTGGACATGGACGTGGACGTGGACGTGGACGTGGACGTGGACGTGGACGTGGACGTGGACGTGGACGTGGACGTGGACGTGGACGTGGACGTGGACGTGGACGTGGACGTGGACGTGGACGTGGACGTGGACGTGGACGTGGACGTGGACGTGGACGTGGACGTGGACGTGGACGTGGACGTGGACGTGGACGTGGACGTGGACGTGGACGTGGACGTGGACGTGGACGTGGACGTGGACGTGGACGTGGACGTGGACATGGACGTGGACGTGGACGTGGACGTGGACGTGGACGTGGACGTGGACGTGGACGTGGACGTGGACGTGGACATGGACGTGGACGTGGACGTGGACGTGGACGTGGACGTGGACGTGGACGTGGACGTGGACGTGGACGTGGACGTGGACGTGGACGTGGACGTGGACGTGGACATGGACGTGGACGTGGACGTGGACATGGACGTGGACATGGACGTGGACGTGGACGTGGACGTGGACGTGGACGTGGACGTGGACGTGGACGTGGACGTGGACGTGGACGTGGACGTGGACGTGGACGTGGACGTGGACGTGGACGTGGACGTGGACGTGGACGTGGACGTGGACGTGGACGTGGACGTGGACGTGGACGTGGACGTGGACGTGGACATGGACGTGGACGTGGACGTGGACGACGTGGACGTGGACGTGGACGTGGACGTGGACGTGGACGTGGACGTGGACGTGGACGTGGACGTGGACGTGGACGTGGACATGGACGTGGACGTGGACGTGGACGTGGACATGGACGTGGACGTGGACGTGGACGTGGACGTGGACGTGGACGTGGACGTGGACGTGGACGTGGACGTGGACGTGGACGTGGACGTGGACGTGGACGTGGACGTGGACGTGGACGTGGACGTGGACGTGGACATGGACGTGGACGTGGACGTGGACGTGGACGTGGACGTGGACGTGGACGTGGACGTGGACGTGGACATGGACGTGGACGTGGACGTGGACGTGGACGTGGACGTGGACGTGGACGTGGACGTGGACGTGGACGTGGACGTGGACGTGGACGTGGACGTGGACATGGACGTGGACGTGGACGTGGACGTGGACGTGGACGTGGACGTGGACGTGGACGTGGACGTGGACGTGGACGTGGACGTGGACGTGGACGTGGACGTGGACGTGGACGTGGACGTGGACGTGGACGTGGACGTGGACGTGGACGTGGACGTGGACGTGGACGTGGACGTGGACGTGGACGTGGACGTGGACGTGGACGTGGACGTGGACGTGGACGTGGACGTGGACGTGGACGTGGACGTGGACGTGGACGTGGACGTGGACGTGGACGTGGACGTGGACGTGGACGTGGACGTGGACGTGGACGTGGACGTGGACGTGGACGTGGACGTGGACGTGGACGTGGACGTGGACGTGGACGTGGACGTGGACGTGGACGTGGACGTGGACGTGGACGTGGACGTGGACGTGGACGTGGACGTGGACGTGGACGTGGACGTGGACGTGGACGTGGACGTGGACGTGGACGTGGACGTGGACGTGGACGTGGACGTGGACGTGGACGTGGACGTGGACGTGGACGTGGACGTGGACGTGGACGTGGACGTGGACGTGGACGTGGACGTGGACGTGGACGTGGACGTGGACGTGGACGTGGACGTGGACGTGGACGTGGACGTGGACGTGGACGTGGACGTGGACGTGGACGTGGACGTGGACGTGGACGTGGACGTGGACGTGGACGTGGACGTGGACGTGGACGTGGACGTGGACGTGGACGTGGACGTGGACGTGGACGTGGACGTGGACGTGGACGTGGACGTGGACGTGGACGTGGACGTGGACGTGGACGTGGACGTGGACATGGACGTGGACGTGGACGTGGACGTGGACGTGGACGTGGACGTGGACGTGGACGTGGACGTGGACGTGGACGTGGACGTGGACGTGGACGTGGACGTGGACGTGGACGTGGACGTGGACGTGGACATGGACGTGGACGTGGACGTGGACGACGTGGACGTGGACGTGGACGTGGACGTGGACGTGGACGTGGACGTGGACGTGGACGTGGACGTGGACGTGGACGTGGACGTGGACGTGGACGTGGACGTGGACGTGGACATGGACGTGGACGTGGACGTGGACGTGGACGTGGACGTGGACGTGGACGTGGACGTGGACGTGGACGTGGACGTGGACGTGGACGTGGACGTGGACATGGACGTGGACGTGGACGTGGACATGGACGTGGACGTGGACGTGGACGTGGACGTGGACGTGGACGTGGACGTGGACGTGGACGTGGACGTGGACGTGGACGTGGACGTGGACGTGGACGTGGACATGGACGTGGACGTGGACGTGGACGTGGACGTGGACGTGGACGTGGACGTGGACGTGGACGTGGACGTGGACGTGGACGTGGACGTGGACGTGGACGTGGACGTGGACGTGGACGTGGACGTGGACGTGGACGTGGACGTGGACGTGGACGTGGACGTGGACATGGACGTGGACGTGGACGTGGACGTGGACGTGGACGTGGACGTGGACATGGACGTGGACGTGGACGTGGAGGACGTGGACGTGGACGTGGACGTGGACGTGGACGTGGACGTGGACATGGACGTGGACGTGGACGTGGACGTGGACGTGGACGTGGACGTGGACGTGGACGTGGACGTGGACGTGGACATGGACGTGGACGTGGACGTGGACGTGGACATGGACGTGGACGTGGACGTGGACGTGGACGTGGACGTGGACGTGGACGTGGACGTGGACGTGGACGTGGACGTGGACGTGGACGTGGACGTGGACGTGGACGTGGACGTGGACGTGGACGTGGACGTGGACGTGGACGTGGACGTGGACGTGGACGTGGACGTGGACGTGGACGTGGACGTGGACGTGGACGTGGACGTGGACGTGGACGTGGACGTGGACGTGGACGTGGACGTGGACGTGGACGTGGACGTGGACGTGGACGTGGACGTGGACGTGGACGTGGACGTGGACGTGGACGTGGACGTGGACGTGGACGTGGACGTGGACGTGGACGTGGACGTGGACGTGGACGTGGACGTGGACGTGGACGTGGACGTGGACATGGACGTGGACGTGGACGTGGACGTGGACGTGGAGGACGTGGACGTGGACGTGGACGTGGACGTGGACGTGGACGTGGACGTGGACGTGGACGTGGACGTGGACGTGGACGTGGACGTGGACGTGGACGTGGACGTGGACGTGGACGTGGACGTGGACGTGGACGTGGACGTGGACGTGGACGTGGACGTGGACGTGGACGTGGACGTGGACGTGGACGTGGACGTGGACATGGACGTGGACATGGACGTGGACGTGGACGTGGACGTGGACGTGGACATGGACGTGGACGTGGACGTGGACGTGGACGTGGACATGGACGTGGACGTGGACGTGGACGTGGACGTGGACGTGGACGTGGACGTGGACGTGGACGTGGACGTGGACGTGGACGTGGACGTGGACGTGGACGTGGACGTGGACGTGGACGTGGACGTGGACGTGGACGTGGACGTGGACGTGGACGTGGACGTGGACGTGGACGTGGACGTGGACGTGGACGTGGACGTGGACGTGGACATGGACGTGGACGTGGACGTGGACGTGGACGTGGACGTGGACGTGGACGTGGACGTGGACGTGGACGTGGACGTGGACGTGGACGTGGACGTGGACGTGGACGTGGACGTGGACGTGGACGTGGACGTGGACGTGGACGTGGACGTGGACGTGGACGTGGACGTGGACGTGGACGTGGACGTGGACGTGGACGTGGACGTGGACGTGGACGTGGACGACTTGGACGTGGACATGGACGTGGACGTGGACGTGGACGTGGACGTGGACGTGGACGTGGACGTGGACGTGGACGTGGACGTGGACGTGGACGTGGACGTGGACGTGGACGTGGACGTGGACATGGACGTGGACGTGGACGTGGACGTGGACGTGGACGTGGACGTGGACGTGGACGTGGACGTGGACGTGGACGTGGACGTGGACGTGGACGTGGACGTGGACGTGGACGTGGACGTGGACGTGGACGTGGACGTGGACGTGGACGTGGACGTGGACGTGGACGTGGACGTGGACGTGGACGTGGACATGGACGTGGACGTGGACGTGGACGTGGACGTGGACGTGGACGTGGACGTGGACGTGGACGTGGACGTGGACGTGGACGTGGACGTGGACGTGGACGTGGACGTGGACGTGGACGTGGACGTGGACGTGGACGTGGACGTGGACGTGGACGTGGACGTGGACGTGGACGTGGACGTGGACGTGGACGTGGACGTGGACGTGGACGTGGACGTGGACGTGGACGTGGACGTGGACGTGGACGTGGACGTGGACGTGGACGTGGACGTGGACGTGGACGTGGACGTGGACGTGGACGTGGACGTGGACGTGGACGTGGACGTGGACGTGGAGACGTGGACGTGGACGTGGACGTGGACGTGGACATGGACGTGGACGTGGACGTGGACGTGGACGTGGACGTGGACGTGGACGTGGACGTGGACGTGGACGTGGACGTGGACGTGGACGTGGACGTGGACGTGGACGTGGACGTGGACGTGGACGTGGACGTGGACGTGGACGTGGACGTGGACGTGGACGTGGACGTGGACGTGGACGTGGACGTGGACGTGGACGTGGACGTGGACGTGGACGTGGACGTGGACGTGGACGTGGACGTGGACGTGGACGTGGACGTGGACGTGGACGTGGACGTGGACGTGGACGTGGACGTGGACGTGGACGTGGACGTGGACGTGGACGTGGACGTGGACGTGGACGTGGACGTGGACGTGGACGTGGACGTGGACGTGGACGTGGACGTGGACGTGGACGTGGACGTGGACGTGGACGTGGACGTGGACGTGGACGTGGACGTGGACGTGGACGTGGACGTGGACGTGGACGTGGACGTGGACGTGGACGTGGACATGGACGTGGACGTGGACGTGGACGTGGACGTGGACGTGGACGTGGACGTGGACGTGGACGTGGACGTGGACGTGGACGTGGACGTGGACGTGGACGTGGACGTGGACGTGGACGTGGACGTGGACGTGGACGTGGACGTGGACGTGGACGTGGACGTGGACGTGGACGTGGACGTGGACGTGGACGTGGACGTGGACGTGGACGTGGACGTGGACGTGGACGTGGACGTGGACGTGGACGTGGACGTGGACGTGGACGTGGACGTGGACGTGGACGTGGACGTGGACGTGGACGTGGACGTGGACGTGGACGTGGACGTGGACGTGGACGTGGACGTGGACGTGGACGTGGACGTGGACGTGGACGTGGACGTGGACGTGGACGTGGACGTGGACGTGGACGTGGACGTGGACGTGGACGTGGACGTGGACGTGGACGTGGACGTGGACGTGGACGTGGACGTGGACGTGGACGTGGACGTGGACGTGGACGTGGACGTGGACGTGGACGTGGACGTGGACGTGGACGTGGACGTGGACGTGGACATGGACGTGGACGTGGACGTGGACGTGGACGTGGACGTGGACGTGGACGTGGACGTGGACGTGGACGTGGACGTGGACGTGGACGTGGACGTGGACGTGGACGTGGACGTGGACGTGGACGTGGACGTGGACGTGGACGTGGACGTGGACGTGGACGTGGACGTGGACGTGGACGTGGACGTGGACGTGGACGTGGACGTGGACGTGGACGTGGACGTGGACGTGGACGTGGACGTGGACGTGGACGTGGACGTGGACGTGGACGTGGACGTGGACGTGGACGTGGACGTGGACGTGGACGTGGACGTGGACGTGGACGTGGACGTGGACGTGGACGTGGACGTGGACGTGGACGTGGACGTGGACGTGGACGTGGACGTGGACGTGGACGTGGACGTGGACGTGGACGTGGACGTGGACGTGGACGTGGACGTGGACGTGGACGTGGACGTGGACGTGGACGTGGACGTGGACGTGGACGTGGACGTGGACGTGGACGTGGACGTGGACGTGGACGTGGACGTGGACGTGGACGTGGACGTGGACGTGGACGTGGACGTGGACGTGGACGTGGACGTGGACGTGGACGTGGACGTGGACGTGGACGTGGACGTGGACGTGGACGTGGACGTGGACGTGGACGTGGACGTGGACGTGGACGTGGACGTGGACGTGGACGTGGACGTGGACGTGGACGTGGACGTGGACGTGGACGTGGACGTGGACGTGGACGTGGACGTGGACGTGGACGTGGACGTGGACGTGGACGTGGACGTGGACGTGGACGTGGACGTGGACGTGGACGTGGACGTGGACGTGGACGTGGACGTGGACGTGGACGTGGACGTGGACATGGACGTGGACGTGGACGTGGACGTGGACGTGGACGTGGACGTGGACGTGGACGTGGACGTGGACGTGGACGTGGACGTGGACGTGGACGTGGACGTGGACGTGGACGTGGACGTGGACGTGGACGTGGACGTGGACGTGGACGTGGACGTGGACGTGGACGTGGACGTGGACGTGGACGTGGACGTGGACGTGGACGTGGACGTGGACGTGGACGTGGACGTGGACGTGGACGTGGACGTGGACGTGGACGTGGACGTGGACGTGGACGTGGACGTGGACGTGGACGTGGACGTGGACGTGGACGTGGACGTGGACGTGGACGTGGACGTGGACGTGGACGTGGACGTGGACGGACGTGGACGTGGACGTGGACGTGGACGTGGACGTGGACGTGGACGTGGACATGGACGTGGACGTGGACGTGGACGTGGACGTGGACGTGGACGTGGACGTGGACGTGGACGTGGACGTGGACGTGGACGTGGACGTGGACGTGGACGTGGACGTGGACGTGGACGTGGACGTGGACGTGGACGTGGACGTGGACGTGGACGTGGACGTGGACGTGGACGTGGACGTGGACGTGGACGTGGACGTGGACGTGGACGTGGACGTGGACGTGGACGTGGACGTGGACGTGGACGGACGTGGACGTGGACGTGGACGGACGTGGACGTGGACGTGGACGTGGACGTGGACGTGGACGTGGACGTGGACGTGGACGTGGACGTGGACGTGGACGTGGACGTGGACGTGGACGTGGACGTGGACGTGGACGTGGACATGGACGTGGACGTGGACGTGGACGTGGACGTGGACGTGGACGTGGACGTGGACGTGGACGTGGACGTGGACGTGGACGTGGACGTGGACGTGGACGTGGACGTGGACGTGGACGTGGACGTGGACGTGGACATGGACGTGGACGTGGACGTGGACGTGGACGTGGACGTGGACGTGGACGTGGACGTGGACGTGGACGTGGACGTGGACGTGGACGTGGACGTGGACGTGGACGTGGACGTGGACGTGGACGTGGACGTGGACGTGGACGTGGACGTGGACGTGGACGTGGACGTGGACGTGGACGTGGACGTGGACGTGGACGTGGACGTGGACGTGGACATGGACGTGGACGTGGACGTGGACGTGGACGTGGACGTGGACGTGGACGTGGACGTGGACGTGGACGTGGACGTGGACGTGGACGTGGACGTGGACGTGGACGTGGACGTGGACGTGGACGTGGACGTGGACGTGGACGTGGACGTGGACGTGGACGTGGACGTGGACGTGGACGTGGACGTGGACGTGGACGTGGACGTGGACGTGGACGTGGACGTGGACGTGGACGTGGACGTGGACGTGGACGTGGACGTGGACGTGGACGTGGACGTGGACGTGGACGTGGACGTGGACGTGGACGTGGACGTGGACGTGGACGTGGACGTGGACGTGGACGTGGACGTGGACGTGGACGTGGACGTGGACGTGGACGTGGACGTGGACGTGGACGTGGACGTGGACGTGGACGTGGACGTGGACGTGGACGTGGACGTGGACGTGGACGTGGACGTGGACGTGGACGTGGACGTGGACGTGGACGTGGACGTGGACGGACGTGGACGTGGACGTGGACGTGGACGTGGACGTGGACGTGGACGTGGACGTGGACGTGGACGTGGACGTGGACGTGGACGTGGACGTGGACGTGGACGTGGACGTGGACGTGGACGTGGACGTGGACGTGGACGTGGACGTGGACGTGGACGTGGACGTGGACGTGGACGTGGACGTGGACGTGGACGTGGACGTGGACGTGGACGTGGACGTGGACGTGGACATGGACGTGGACGTGGACGTGGACGTGGACGTGGACGTGGACGTGGACGTGGACGTGGACGTGGACGTGGACGTGGACGTGGACGTGGACGTGGACGTGGACGTGGACGTGGACGTGGACGTGGACGTGGACGTGGACGTGGACGTGGACGTGGACGTGGACGTGGACGTGGACGTGGACGTGGACGTGGACGTGGACGTGGACGTGGACGTGGACGTGGACGTGGACGTGGACGTGGACGTGGACGTGGACGTGGACGTGGACGTGGACGTGGACGTGGACGTGGACGTGGACGTGGACGTGGACGTGGACGTGGACGTGGACGTGGACGTGGACGTGGACGTGGACGTGGACGTGGACGTGGACGTGGACGTGGACGTGGACGTGGACGTGGACGTGGACGTGGACGTGGACGTGGACGTGGACGTGGACGTGGACGTGGACGTGGACGTGGACGTGGACGTGGACGTGGACGTGGACGTGGACGTGGACGTGGACGTGGACGTGGACGTGGACGTGGACGTGGACGTGGACGTGGACGTGGACGTGACGTGGACGTGGACATGGACGTGGACGTGGACGTGGACGTGGACGTGGACGTGGACGTGGACGTGGACGTGGACGTGGACGTGGACGTGGACGTGGACGTGGACGTGGACGTGGACGTGGACGTGGACGTGGACGTGGACGTGGACGTGGACGTGGACGTGGACGTGGACGTGGACGTGGACGTGGACGTGGACGTGGACGTGGACGTGGACGTGGACGTGGACGTGGACGTGGACGTGGACGTGGACGTGGACGTGGACATGGACGTGGACGTGGACATGGACGTGGACGTGGACGTGGACGTGGACGTGGACGTGGACGTGGACGTGGACGTGGACGTGGACGTGGACGTGGACGTGGACGTGGACGTGGACGTGGACGTGGACGTGGACGTGGACGTGGACGTGGACGTGGACGTGGACATGGACGTGGACGTGGACGTGGACGTGGACGTGGAGGACGTGGACGTGGACGTGGACGTGGACGTGGACGTGGACGTGGACGTGGACGTGGACGTGGACGTGGACGTGGACGTGGACGTGGACGTGGACGTGGACGTGGACGTGGACGTGGACGTGGACGTGGACGTGGACGTGGACGTGGACGTGGACGTGGACGTGGACGTGGACGTGGACGTGGACGTGGACGTGGACGTGGACGTGGACGTGGACGTGGACGTGGACGTGGACGTGGACGTGGACGTGGACGTGGACGTGGACGTGGACGTGGACGTGGACGTGGACGTGGACGTGGACGTGGACGTGGACGTGGACGTGGACGTGGACGTGGACGTGGACGTGGACGTGGACGTGGACGTGGACGTGGACGTGGACGTGGACGTGGACGTGGACGTGGACGTGGACGTGGACGTGGACGTGGACGTGGACGTGGACGTGGACGTGGACGTGGACGTGGACGTGGACGTGACGTGGACGTGGACGTGGACGTGGACGTGGACGTGGACGTGGACGTGGACGTGGACGTGGACGTGGACGTGGACGTGGACGTGGACGTGGACGTGGACGTGGACGTGGACGTGGACGTGGACGTGGACGTGGACGTGGACGTGGACGTGGACGTGGACGTGGACGTGGACGTGGACGTGGACGTGGACGTGGACGTGGACGTGGACGTGGACGTGGACGTGGACGTGGACGTGGACGTGGACGTGGACGTGGACGTGGACGTGGACATGGACGTGGACGTGGACGTGGACGTGGACGTGGACGTGGACGTGGACGTGGACGTGGACGTGGACGTGGACGTGGACGTGGACGTGGACGTGGACGTGGACGTGGACGTGGACGTGGACGTGGACGTGGACGTGGACGTGGACGTGGACGTGGACGTGGACGTGGACGTGGACGTGGACGTGGACGTGGACGTGGACGTGGACGTGGACGTGGACGTGGACGTGGACGTGGACGTGGACGTGGACGTGGACGTGGACGTGGACGTGGACGTGGACGTGGACGTGGACGTGGACGTGGACGTGGACGTGGACGTGGACGTGGACGTGGACGTGGACGTGGACGTGGACGTGGACGTGGACGTGGACGTGGACGTGGACGTGGACGTGGACGTGGACGTGGACGTGGACGTGGACGTGGACGTGGACGTGGACGTGGACGTGGACGTGGACGTGGACGTGGACGTGGACGTGGAGGACGTGGACGTGGACGTGGACGTGGACGTGGACGTGGACGTGGACGTGGACGTGGACGTGGACGTGGACGTGGACGTGGACGTGGACGTGGACGTGGACGTGGACGTGGACGTGGACGTGGACGTGGACGTGGACGTGGACGTGGACGTGGACGTGGACGTGGACGTGGACGTGGACGTGGACGTGGACGTGGACGTGGACGTGGACGTGGACGTGGACGTGGACGTGGACGTGGACGTGGACGTGGACGTGGACGTGGACGTGGACGTGGACGTGGACGTGGACGTGGACGTGGACGTGGACGTGGACGTGGACGTGGACGTGGACGTGGACGTGGACGTGGACGTGGACGTGGACGTGGACGTGGACGTGGACGTGGACGTGGACGTGGACGTGGACGTGGACGTGGACGTGGACGTGGACGTGGACGTGGACGTGGACGTGGACGTGGACGTGGACGTGGACGTGGACGTGGACGTGGACGTGGACGTGGACGTGGACGTGGACGTGGACGTGGACGTGGACGTGGACGTGGACGTGGACGTGGACGTGGACGTGGACGTGGACGTGGACGTGGACGTGGACGTGGACGTGGACGTGGACGTGGACGTGGACGTGGACGTGGACGTGGACGTGGACGTGGACGTGGACGTGGACGTGGACGTGGACGTGGACGTGGACGTGGACGTGGACGTGGACGTGGACGTGGACGTGGACGTGGACGTGGACGTGGACGTGGACGTGGACGTGGACGTGGACGTGGACGTGGACGTGGACGTGGACGTGGACGTGGACGTGGACGTGGACGTGGACGTGGACGTGGACGTGGACGTGGACGTGGACGTGGACGTGGACGTGGACGTGGACGTGGACGTGGACGTGGACGTGGACGTGGACGTGGACGTGGACGTGGACGTGGACGTGGACGTGGACGTGGACGTGGACGTGGACGTGGACGTGGACGTGGACGTGGACGTGGACGTGGACGTGGACGTGGACGTGGACGTGGACGTGGACGTGGACGTGGACGTGGACGTGGACGTGGACGTGGACGTGGACGTGGACGTGGACGTGGACGTGGACGTGGACGTGGACGTGGACGTGGACGTGGACGTGGACGTGGACGTGGACGTGGACGTGGACGTGGACGTGGAACTGGACGTGGACGTGGACGTGGACGTGGACATGGACGTGGACGTGGACGTGGACGTGGACGTGGACGTGGACGTGGACGTGGACGTGGACGTGGACGTGGACGTGGACGTGGACGTGGACGTGGACGTGGACGTGGACGTGGACGTGGACGTGGACGTGGACGTGGACGTGGACGTGGACGTGGACGTGGACGTGGACGTGGACGTGGACGTGGACGTGGACGTGGACGTGGACGTGGACGTGGACGTGGACGTGGACGTGGACGTGGACGTGGACGTGGACGTGGACGTGGACGTGGACGTGGACGTGGACGTGGACGTGGAGGACGTGGACGTGGACGTGGACGTGGACGTGGACGTGGACGTGGACGTGGACGTGGACGTGGACGTGGACGTGGACGTGGACATGGACGTGGACGTGGACGTGGACGTGGACATGGACGTGGACGTGGACGTGGACGTGGACGTGGACGTGGACGTGGACGTGGACGTGGACGTGGACGTGGACGTGGACGTGGACGTGGACGTGGACGTGGACGTGGACGTGGACGTGGACGTGGACGTGGACGTGGACGTGGACGTGGACGTGGAGGACGTGGACGTGGACGTGGACGTGGACGTGGACGTGGACGTGGACGTGGACGTGGACGTGGACGTGCGTGGACGTGGACGTGGACGTGGACGTGGACGTGGACGTGGACGTGGACGTGGACGTGGACGTGGACGTGGACGTGGACGTGGACGTGGACGTGGACGTGGACGTGGACGTGGACGTGGACGTGGGACGTGGACGTGGACGTGGACGTGGACGTGGACGTGGACGTGGACGTGGACGTGGACGTGGACGTGGACGTGGACGTGGACGTGGACGTGGACGTGGACGTGGACGTGGACGTGGACGTGGACGTGGACGTGGACGTGGACGTGGACGTGGACGTGGACGTGGACGTGGACGTGGACGTGGACGTGGACGTGGACGTGGACGTGGACGTGGACGTGGACGTGGACGTGGACGTGGACGTGGACGTGGACGTGGACGTGGACATGGACGTGGACGTGGACGTGGACGTGGACGTGGACGTGGACGTGGACGTGGACGTGGACGTGGACGTGGACGTGGACGTGGACATGGACGTGGACGTGGACGTGGACGTGGACGTGGACATGGACGTGGACGTGGACGTGGACGTGGACGTGGACGTGGACGTGGACGTGGACGTGGACGTGGACGTGGACGTGGACGTGGACGTGGACGTGGACGTGGACGTGGACGTGGACGTGGACGTGGACGTGGACGTGGACGTGGACGTGGACGTGGACGTGGACGTGGACGTGGACGTGGACATGGACGTGGACGTGGACGTGGACGTGGACGTGGACGTGGACGTGGACGTGGACGTGGACGTGGACGTGGACGTGGACGTGGACGTGGACGTGGACGTGGACGTGGACGTGGACGTGGACGTGGACGTGGACGTGGACATGGACGTGGACGTGGACATGGACGTGGACGTGGACGTGGACGTGGACGTGGACGTGGACGTGGACGTGGACGTGGACGTGGACGTGGACGTGGACGTGGACGTGGACGTGGACGTGGAGGACGTGGACGTGGACGTGGACGTGGACGTGGACGTGGACGTGGACGTGGACGTGGACGTGGACGTGGACGTGGACGTGGACGTGGACGTGGACGTGGACGTGGACGTGGACGTGGACGTGGACGTGGACATGGACGTGGACGTGGACGTGGACGTGGACGTGGACGTGGACGTGGACGTGACGTGGACATGGACGTGGACGTGGACGTGGACATGGACGTGGACGTGGACGTGGACGTGGACATGGACGTGGACGTGGACGTGGACGTGGACGTGGACGTGGACGTGGACGTGGACGTGGACGTGGACGTGGACGTGGACGTGGACGTGGACGTGGACGTGGACGTGGACGTGGACATGGACGTGGACGTGGACGTGGACATGGACGTGGACGTGGACGTGGACGTGGACGTGGACGTGGACGTGGACGTGGACGTGGACGTGGACGTGGACGTGGACGTGGACGTGGACGTGGACGTGGACGTGGACGTGGACGTGGACGTGGACGTGGACGTGGACGTGGACGTGGACGTGGACGTGGACGTGGACGTGGACGTGGACGTGGACGTGGACGTGGACGTGGACGTGGACGTGGACGTGGACGTGGACGTGGACGTGGACATGGACGTGGACGTGGACGTGGACGTGGACGTGGACGTGGACGTGGACGTGGACGTGGACGTGGACGTGGACGTGGACGTGGACGTGGACGTGGACGTGGACGTGGACGTGGACGTGGACGTGGACGTGGACGTGGACGTGGACGTGGACGTGGACGTGGACGTGGACGTGGACGTGGACGTGGACGTGGACGTGGACGTGGACGTGGACGTGGACGTGGACGTGGACGTGGACGTGGACGTGGACGTGGACGTGGACGTGGACGTGGACGTGGACGTGGACGTGGACATGGACGTGGACGTGGACGTGGACGTGGACGTGGACGTGGACGTGGACGTGGACGTGGACGTGGACGTGGACGTGGACGTGGACGTGGACGTGGACGTGGACGTGGACGTGGACATGGACGTGGACGTGGACGTGGACGTGGACGTGGACGTGGACGTGGACGTGGACGTGGACGTGGACGTGGACGTGGACGTGGACGTGGACGTGGACGTGGACGTGGACGTGGACGTGGACGTGGACGTGGACGTGGACGTGGACGTGGACGTGGACGTGGACGTGGACGTGGACGTGGACGTGGACGTGGACGTGGACGTGGACGTGGACGTGGACGTGGACGTGGACGTGGACGTGGACGTGGACGTGGACGTGGACGTGGACGTGGACGTGGACGTGGACGTGGACGTGGACGTGGACGTGGACGTGGACGTGGACGTGGACGTGGACGTGGACGTGGACGTGGACGTGGACGTGGACGTGGACGTGGACGTGGACGTGGACGTGGACGTGGACGTGGACGTGGACGTGGACGTGGACGTGGACGTGGACGTGGACGTGGACGTGGACGTGGACGTGGACGTGGACGTGGACGTGGACGTGGACGTGGACGTGGACGTGGACGTGGACATGGACGTGGACGTGGACGTGGACGTGGACGTGGACGTGGACGTGGACGTGGACGTGGACGTGGACGTGGACGTGGACGTGGACATGGACGTGGACGTGGACGTGGACGTGGACGTGGACGTGGACGTGGACGTGGACGTGGACGTGGACGTGGACGTGGACGTGGACGTGGACGTGGACGTGGACGTGGACGTGGACGTGGACGTGGACGTGGACGTGGACGTGGACGTGGACGTGGACGTGGACGTGGACGTGGACGTGGACGTGGACGTGGACGTGGACGTGGACGTGGACGTGGACGTGGACGTGGACGTGGACGTGGACGTGGACGTGGACGTGGACGTGGACGTGGACGTGGACGTGGACGTGGACGTGGACGTGGACGTGGACGTGGACGTGGACGTGGACGTGGACGTGGACGTGGACGTGGACGTGGACGTGGACGTGGACGTGGACGTGGACGTGGACGTGGACGTGGACGTGGACGTGGACGTGGACGTGGACGTGGACGTGGACGTGGACGTGGACGTGGACGTGGACGTGGACGTGGACGTGGACGTGGACGTGGACGTGGACGTGGACGTGGACGTGGACGTGGACGTGGACGTGGACGTGGACGTGGACGTGGACGTGGACGTGGACGTGGACGTGGACGTGGACGTGGACGTGGACGTGGACGTGGACGTGGACGTGGACGTGGACGTGGACGTGGACGTGGACGTGGACGTGGACGTGGACGTGGACGTGGACGTGGACGTGGACGTGGACGTGGACGTGGACGTGGACGTGGACGTGGACATGGACGTGGACGTGGACGTGGACGTGGACGTGGACGTGGACGTGGACGTGGACGTGGACGTGGACGTGGACGTGGACGTGGACGTGGACGTGGACGTGGACGTGGACGTGGACGTGGACGTGGACGTGGACGTGGACGTGGACGTGGACGTGGACGTGGACGTGGACGTGGACGTGGACGTGGACGTGGACGTGGACGTGGACGTGGACGTGGACGTGGACGTGGACGTGGACGTGGACGTGGACGTGGACGTGGACGTGGACGTGGACGTGGACGTGGACGTGGACGTGGACGTGGACGTGGACGTGGACGTGGACGTGGACGTGGACGTGGACGTGGACGTGGACGTGGACGTGGACGTGGACGTGGACGTGGACGTGGACGTGGACGTGGACGTGGACGTGGACGTGGACGTGGACGTGGACGTGGACGTGGACGTGGACGTGGACGTGGACGTGGACGTGGACGTGGACGTGGACGTGGACGTGGACGTGGACGTGGACGTGGACGTGGACGTGGACGTGGACGTGGACGTGGACGTGGACGTGGACGTGGACGTGGACGTGGACGTGGACGTGGACGTGGACGTGGACGTGGACGTGGACGTGGACGTGGACGTGGACGTGGACGTGGACGTGGACGTGGACGTGGACGTGGACGTGGACGTGGACGTGGACGTGGACGTGGACGTGGACGTGGACGTGGACGTGGACGTGGACGTGGACGTGGACGTGGACGTGGACGTGGACGTGGACGTGGACGTGGACGTGGACGTGGACGTGGACGTGGACGTGGACGTGGACGTGGACGTGGACGTGGACGTGGACGTGGACGTGGACGTGGACGTGGACGTGACGTGGACGTGGACGTGGACGTGGACGTGGACGTGGACGTGGACGTGGACGTGGACGTGGACGTGGACGTGGACGTGGACGTGGACGTGGACGTGGACGTGGACGTGGACGTGGACGTGGACGTGGACGTGGACGTGGACGTGGACGTGGACGTGGACGTGGACGTGGACGTGGACGTGGACGTGGACGTGGACGTGGACGTGGACGTGGACGTGGACGTGGACGTGGACGTGGACGTGGACGTGGACGTGGACGTGGACGTGGACGTGGACGTGGACGTGGACGTGGACGTGGACGTGGACGTGGACGTGGACGTGGACGTGGACGTGGACGTGGACGTGGACGTGGACGTGGACGTGGACGTGGACGTGGACGTGGACGTGGACGTGGACGTGGACGTGGACGTGGACGTGGACGTGGACGTGGACGTGGACGTGGACGTGGACGTGGACGTGGACATGGACGTGGACGTGGACGTGGACGTGGACGTGGACGTGGACGTGGACGTGGACGTGGACGTGGACGTGGACGTGGACGTGGACGTGGACGTGGACGTGGACGTGGACGTGGACGTGGACGTGGACGTGGACGTGGACGTGGACGTGGACGTGGACGTGGACGTGGACGTGGACGTGGACGTGGACGTGGACGTGGACGTGGACGTGGACGTGGACGTGGACGTGGACGTGGACGTGGACGTGGACGTGGACGTGGACGTGGACGTGGACGTGGACGTGGACGTGGACGTGGACGTGGACGTGGACGTGGACGTGGACGTGGACGTGGACGTGGACGTGGACGTGGACGTGGACGTGGACGTGGACGTGGACATGGACGTGGACGTGGACGTGGACGTGGACGTGGACGTGGACGTGGACGTGGACGTGGACGTGGACGTGGACGTGGACGTGGACGTGGACGTGGACGTGGACGTGGACGTGGACGTGGACGTGGACGTGGACGTGGACGTGGACGTGGACGTGGACGTGGACGTGGACGTGGACGTGGACGTGGACGTGGACGTGGACGTGGACGTGGACGTGGACGTGGACGTGGACGTGGACGTGGACGTGGACGTGGACGTGGACGTGGACGTGGACGTGGACGTGGACGTGGACGTGGACGTGGACGTGGACGTGGACGTGGACGTGGACGTGGACGTGGACGTGGACGTGGACGTGGACGTGGACGTGGACGTGGACGTGGACGTGGACGTGGACGTGGACGTGGACGTGGACGTGGACGTGGACGTGGACGTGGACGTGGACGTGGACGTGGACGTGGACGTGGACGTGGACGTGGACGTGGACGTGGACGTGGACGTGGACGTGGACGTGGACGTGGACGTGGACGTGGACGTGGACGTGGACGTGGACGTGGACGTGGACGTGGACGTGGACGTGGACGTGGACGTGGACGTGGACGTGGACGTGGACGTGGACGTGGACGTGGACGTGGACGTGGACGTGGACGTGGACGTGGACGTGGACGTGGACGTGGACGTGGACGTGGACGTGGACGTGGACGTGGACGTGGACGTGGACGTGGACGTGGACGTGGACGTGGACGTGGACGTGGACGTGGACGTGGACGTGGACGTGGACGTGGACGTGGACGTGGACGTGGACGTGGACGTGGACGTGGACGTGGACGTGGACGTGGACGTGGACGTGGACGTGGACGTGGACGTGGACGTGGACGTGGACGTGGACGTGGACGTGGACGTGGACGTGGACGTGGACGTGGACGTGGACGTGGACGTGGACGTGGACGTGGACGTGGACGTGGACGTGGACGTGGACGTGGACGTGGACGTGGACGTGGACGTGGACGTGGACGTGGACGTGGACGTGGACGTGGACGTGGACGTGGACGTGGACGTGGACGTGGACGTGGACGTGGACGTGGACGTGGACGTGGACGTGGACGTGGACGTGGACGTGGACGTGGACGTGGACGTGGACGTGGACGTGGACGTGGACGTGGACGTGGACGTGGACGTGGACGTGGACGTGGACGTGGACGTGGACGTGGACGTGGACGTGGACGTGGACGTGGACGTGGACGTGGACGTGGACGTGGACGTGGACGTGGACGTGGACGTGGACGTGGACGTGGACGTGGACGTGGACGTGGACGTGGACGTGGACGTGGACGTGGACGTGGACGTGGACGTGGACGTGGACGTGGACGTGGACGTGGACGTGGACGTGGACGTGGACGTGGACGTGGACGTGGACGTGGACGTGGACGTGGACGTGGACGTGGACGTGGACGTGGACGTGGACGTGGACGTGGACGTGGACGTGGACGTGGACGTGGACGTGGACGTGGACGTGGACGTGGACGTGGACGTGGACGTGGACGTGGACGTGGACGTGGACGTGGACGTGGACGTGGACGTGGACGTGGACGTGGACGTGGACGTGGACGTGGACGTGGACGTGGACGTGGACGTGGACGTGGACGTGGACGTGGACGTGGACGTGGACGTGGACGTGGACGTGGACGTGGACGTGGACGTGGACGTGGACGTGGACGTGGACGTGGACGTGGACGTGGACGTGGACGTGGACGTGGACGTGGACGTGGACGTGGACGTGGACGTGGACGTGGACGTGGACGTGGACGTGGACGTGGACGTGGACGTGGACGTGGACGTGGACGTGGACGTGGACGTGGACGTGGACGTGGACGTGGACGTGGACGTGGACGTGGACGTGGACGTGGACGTGGACGTGGACGTGGACGTGGACGTGGACGTGGACGTGGACGTGGACGTGGACGTGGACGTGGACGTGGACGTGGACGTGGACGTGGACGTGGACGTGGACGTGGACGTGGACGTGGACGTGGACGTGGACGTGGACGTGGACGTGGACGTGGACGTGGACGTGGACGTGGACGTGGACGTGGACGTGGACGTGGACGTGGACGTGGACGTGGACGTGGACGTGGACGTGGACGTGGACGTGGACGTGGACGTGGACGTGGACGTGGACGTGGACGTGGACGTGGACGTGGACGTGGACGTGGACGTGGACGTGGACGTGGACGTGGACGTGGACGTGGACGTGGACGTGGACGTGGACGTGGACGTGGACGTGGACGTGGACGTGGACGTGGACGTGGACGTGGACGTGGACGTGGACGTGGACGTGGACGTGGACGTGGACGTGGACGTGGACGTGGACGTGGACGTGGACGTGGACGTGGACGTGGACGTGGACGTGGACGTGGACGTGGACGTGGACGTGGACGTGGACGTGGACGTGGACGTGGACGTGGACGTGGACGTGGACGTGGACGTGGACGTGGACGTGGACGTGGACGTGGACGTGGACGTGGACGTGGACGTGGACGTGGACGTGGACGTGGACGTGGACGTGGACGTGGACGTGGACGTGGACGTGGACGTGGACGTGGACGTGGACGTGGACGTGGACGTGGACGTGGACGTGGACGTGGACGTGGACGTGGACGTGGACGTGGACGTGGACGTGGACGTGGACGTGGACGTGGACGTGGACGTGGACGTGGACGTGGACGTGGACGTGGACGTGGACGTGGACGTGGACGTGGACGTGGACGTGGACGTGGACGTGGACGTGGACGTGGACGTGGACGTGGACGTGGACGTGGACGTGGACGTGGACGTGGACGTGGACGTGGACGTGGACGTGGACGTGGACGTGGACGTGGACGTGGACGTGGACGTGGACGTGGACGTGGACGTGGACGTGGACGTGGACGTGGACGTGGACGTGGACGTGGACGTGGACGTGGACGTGGACGTGGACGTGGACGTGGACGTGGACGTGGACGTGGACGTGGACGTGGACGTGGACGTGGACGTGGACGTGGACGTGGACGTGGACGTGGACGTGGACGTGGACGTGGACGTGGACGTGGACGTGGACGTGGACGTGGACGTGGACGTGGACGTGGACGTGGACGTGGACGTGGACGTGGACGTGGACGTGGACGTGGACGTGGACGTGGACGTGGACGTGGACGTGGACGTGGACGTGGACGTGGACGTGGACGTGGACGTGGACGTGGACGTGGACGTGGACGTGGACGTGGACGTGGACGTGGACGTGGACGTGGACGTGGACGTGGACGTGGACGTGGACGTGGACGTGGACGTGGACGTGGACGTGGACGTGGACGTGGACGTGGACGTGGACGTGGACGTGGACGTGGACGTGGACGTGGACGTGGACGTGGACGTGGACGTGGACGTGGACGTGGACGTGGACGTGGACGTGGACGTGGACGTGGACGTGGACGTGGACGTGGACGTGGACGTGGACGTGGACGTGGACGTGGACGTGGACGTGGACGTGGACGTGGACGTGGACGTGGACGTGGACGTGGACGTGGACGTGGACGTGGACGTGGACGTGGACGTGGACGTGGACGTGGACGTGGACGTGGACGTGGACGTGGACGTGGACGTGGACGTGGACGTGGACGTGGACGTGGACGTGGACGTGGACGTGGACGTGGACGTGGACGTGGACGTGGACGTGGACGTGGACGTGGACGTGGACGTGGACGTGGACGTGGACGTGGACGTGGACGTGGACGTGGACGTGGACGTGGACGTGGACGTGGACGTGGACGTGGACGTGGACGTGGACGTGGACGTGGACGTGGACGTGGACGTGGACGTGGACGTGGACGTGGACGTGGACGTGGACGTGGACGTGGACGTGGACGTGGACGTGGACGTGGACGTGGACGTGGACGTGGACGTGGACGTGGACGTGGACGTGGACGTGGACGTGGACGTGGACGTGGACGTGGACGTGGACGTGGACGTGGACGTGGACGTGGACGTGGACGTGTGGACGTGGACGTGGACGTGGACGTGGACGTGGACGTGGACGTGGACGTGGACGTGGACGTGGACGTGGACGTGGACGTGGACGTGGACGTGGACGTGGACGTGGACGTGGACGTGGACGTGGACGTGGACGTGGACGTGGACGTGGA